GTGACAACTGTCACTTGTAAACTGAGTGAGCAAGTGTCTTACTCCATCACTTAAACACAGGACATGTAGATACCACAGACTTCTCAACTGAATACTATACTGTCTCCCAGGCTGGTGCATTTTATTGGTCCTAATGAGACAGACTGCCTATCCATGTTGCCATGCTCCCCCAGGTACAGGCACCAGAAGCCCCTCCAGGGTGGGGACTGCTCCTGCTGCTTTTCGTATTTCCCCGTTCTTTGTTCAGACTTGAGGTACATGGTGCACCCAGTGCTATCTGTGTTCACTGGCCCTTATCCTCTCTGAAAAATGTCAGATATGATAAACTGAAGGAAGTATCTGAACATCAAACATAATACTAGAACCCGAAATGGACAGAATATTTTCTCTCTTAACAGTTTCAGAAATGGGCATATATATCTTCCAGCCTGTTAAAGCAAAGCTGTGAATCTCCTTCTTCTTTTTAATATATTTTGAACCACATCAAGGGAACTCGTAAGGGATTCAGTGAAGTCCCTGCTCTGAGGTTATGGGCTGGGTGTCCTGTGGCCATACTCAGCATGACGGGGCTGCTGGAGGTAGGTGAAGGAGAGCTGTTGAATCTGCACAGGGGCGTCTCATCCAGCCCACCAGAGGTAGTTTCTAAGGGCCTTGTGACAGGGCAGAGGGAAGGAGAGAGGCTGAGATGGGCTGGGTGCTCCAGCACAAGTGCAGAGTTCCTTGTAGGAAAGTAGCTCCCATCTTGTCACATGGCTTGTTGTTTTTTCCTGGGGCGTCAGAGTCGACGGTGCCCTGGAAGTGTGAGAGTGTGCAGAAGCCTACGGCCGGGAGAGCATTTTGAATGCAGCTGACACGGGAATGGGAGCTGATGTCTGCTACAGTCTAGGGAGCATGCCCTCAGGTTGCACTCACTGTGCCACCTCATTTGCTCTTATTACTCTAGCTTGCAGACATTATCACTTCCACTTTCCACACAAGGAGACCAAAGCTCAGGGTGACCAAGTAGCTTGCTCAACGCCATAAAGCTATCAGATAGCAGAGCCAGGCTTTGGATCCAGGACTAGTCATTCCTTCACTTATGTAACACATGTTTATGAGTGTTGACCATGGCCCTGCTCCTGTGCCAGGGGACGTCTATTGGGGAAAGCAGACATTAAACCAACAGAAATTGAGCCTATTATATAATGTCAGGGGTTCAAAGATGCTATGAGGAAAGAGAAAGCGGGACAAAGGTTGGAGAGCAGCCATGTTAGTTAGGCAGGATGGTCAAGGAGGCCTCTCTGAGGAAGGGACATTTAACCAGAGATCTGAATAAAGAGAGAGAACAAGCATGCAGAACTCAGAGGAAAGAGCATAGCAGCAAGTGCAAGGGGCCTGAGGTGTGCCTGTTGGTGCATCTGAAGAACAGTGAGAAGGGGTCACTATGTCTGGAGTGTGCCTCCCTCTACCAGCCTCGATTCTGGGGTATGAGAGAGGTCACTTTAACTCTTCTTCTCACTTCTCTATACCGTCCTCTCTCTCTCTCTCTCTCTCTCTCTCTCTCTCTCTCTCACACACACACACACACACACATGGTGTAAGTAGAGTGGTGGGAGCTGATGCCAGTGAGGGAACGGAGGCCAGATCACACAGGACCTTGAGAGAGACAAGAGTCTGGAGGAGTTCAAGGAGAGGACTTGCTTGATCTATTCCTCTGATAGCTAAGCCAAGCAGTTTTTTGCTGACCAAGACAAAGCTACTCCAAACCGAAGGACAGTTAATGTGAGGTGGCGCCAGGATGTTGTGAGTCTGTTGAAAGGATTTGGGAGAGAAAGCAGGGGCATGGGACCTTGGGCAGCCAGAATGAGGGCATAGCATACCCCCAAGACACAAGCTGTCTGCGTTGTCATGACAACCAAAGGGCCTCCTGCCAAAGGTGATGTTTGCTTAGTGAAATGCATTGTAACCCCACCAGAAGACAGCCTCTGGCTACTTCTGATGCTGTCCGATGCCTGGCTTATCCATCTTCTCCTCCAAAGAGAAATAAAGTCTGGGAACTCAAAGGGAAGTGAACAAAAGCACTGAGCAAGAACAGAGAGGAGGGAGTAACTAAAGGGTATTTGGGCTTTGTAAGTCTCTATACCCGCTGAGACTGTGGCCAGGGACAGAACCTCCAGTCACCTGACAGGAGGCACAGGGAGCCCTCCTTTTAAGCACAGGATTCTGGCTGGGACAAGAGAACAGGAGGTCACAGCCATGAGTGGCCTATGCGGCCACATTCACAATCTGTGCAGGCAGCCAGCCAGCCCCAAAGCAACACAAAAGCAAGAAAGGTTTTCATTCTAATGGCTGTGTGTGGATCTGAATGTCACTCATGGAGGAAGGAAGCCCTGAGCTGTCTAATAGTAAGAAAAACTTCAAACAGGGCACGCACAGTCCCAGGCTGGCCCTGCCTCTGAAGTGTAAGGTGTTTGGAACTGGCAGCACAGGATGACAGGGGAACTTGCTGGGAAGGCCAGCCTCCTGTGGGCCTCCTCCCACCTGACATGATTTCAGGTCATTAGGGAGATCGCTATAACTCCTCTTCCTACTTCCCACACACACGACACCCCCACATACTCACTCACTGCACCCCAAAACTCTCTTACACAGTTATTTGATGTCGGAAATGTGGAGAATCTCATTTCTTTGGTTCAATGGCTCTCAACTGGAGGTGCACATGAGAATCACTTAAGGAGCACAGACAACTGGGCCCTACTCCAGATCTACTGAGTTGGAATTTGCTGGTAGGATCCCTGGTGATTGTGAATGCTCACCCCTGGTTAAGAAACGCCACTCAAGT